ATTTCTTCTTTTTTTTTTTTTTTAATGTTTCGTTCATTTTTAATGTTTTGAGGGAGACAGAGTGTAAGTGGGGGGAGGGACCGAGAGAGAGAGAGGGAGACACAGAATCTGAGGCAGGCTCCAGGCTCCGAGCTGTCAGCACAGAGCCCGACGCGGGGCTCGAACTCACGGACCGCGAGATCGTGACCTGGGCGAAAATCGGGCGCGTAACTGACTGAGCCACCCAGGCGCTCCAATCCAGATGTTTTTATTAATAATTTTTAGTTCCACAGGAAATGCAGGACTATGTACCCTCCCCCCAAAAAATTACAGATAATGCTAACATCCTCTTTCCCCCACCCTCCCTAAATCTTTTCCCTGCTCCAGAGCAGGGACCATGAAAGTAACCCTTGTTATCAGTTTATTACATCCGTCTGGAGTCCTTTCCCTAAGAAATAAAATACCTGTTAATTACACAATATTTTCTTCTTTCCTCCCGTAGCTCACCTTGTATGAATCATTCTGCAACTCGCTTTTTTTCACTCAGCAACGTGTCTTGGATGTCTTTCTGCGTCGACATGTCCAGATCTCCACGATGCTTTTAAACGGCTGCGCTGGATTACATGCTATATATGACACATGTCATAAGCTGTCAAAGTACAGCCTGTCTAGTCATGGGATTGGTTCGTCATGGATTTTTAAGTCGGCCGTAATACTTTGTTTTGCTTCCACGATTTTTATTCATACCGTGCCTGTATCGTACTCTATTTTTATTCCTACTGGATTCAAAGTCTACAAAGTACTCATCGAGTAGTGCTGCCCTGAAAATTGAGGCATCCCAAAGGGGCGCTGCTGTCCCGACCCCCCTGAGAAGTAGATGAGGTTAGACCTGGGGTCTGGAAGGCACTGGGCTCGTCCCGGATTCAGGACAAGCGAAAGCGCTCAGGCAGGGTCTGGTGACCGGCCCGGGCTCGTACACGGCAGACCCCCCAGGCCTGCTCCTGGGGCCGCCCTGTTCTCTCCCTGCTTCACCTGCCTTCAGAGCTGGACTCTGACACAGGCCACCGTGCGGGTGTCTGTGGGGGTCTGCTCCCTTCCCACCCCTGATGCCCGGGGGTCTCCCCTGCTCTCCCCCTACACCTGGGCTCTAGAGCCCTCCCTCCTCTGAACGTCCATTTGTCGAAAATCCTCTGCCTTCCAGGATGGCCTTGCGGGACAGGTGCGAACACATTTCGAATGTAGAGAAGCCCCATAGCCGTTAAATCACATGTTGGGTAAAATAATCAAAGAATCTTCCCCAAATTTGTCAACGGCGGCGCTGGGCCTAGCGGTTCCATAATGACTCCCACTTGATGACAGATCTCGAGAAAATGCGTTTTGGAAGCAATCAGTATATGCTGAATAGAATCCTATTTTACAAGCGTTTTATCTACTCTTAAGGACACGGAGATGAGGAAAACAGATAAGCCTCTCTATTAATATTGATTAGACCATTATATATCTGAAAAAGAGATTTTAGTCAGAGATGATTGCACCTTACCAGTACAGCCTCCCTTCTTGAATGGAGTCATTTAATCTGCCGCTCAGCGCTGGGGGGGTGTGGGGAGGGAGGGGCACGCAGGCTTTGCTCCCTCACGCTGTGCACAGGAGGCAGGACAGGGACGCTGGTGAGAGGGCCGCGAGGGCAGTTGCACACTTTCTTACCAAGTCAGCCTTCAGCAACAACGGTTCCGTTTTTTGGGGTTTTTTTCTCTAGAAGAGTCCAGAAGTTGGAGCTAGAACACCTTCTTTTCCCGAATAGCTTTAAGAATAAAGACAATCACCACAGGTTAGAAATGGGTCTTTTACTATGGACTACACGAGGAACCTGATAAACACGACGTCACTACGTCACCAGGAATCAGATTTAAACAATGAAATATTACTTAAAATTTTTTTCAGTATTTATTTTAGGGAGAGAGAGAGAGAGCAGGGGAGGAGCAGAGAGAGAGGGAGACACAGAATCCGAAGCAGGCTCCAGGCTCTGAGCTGTCGGCACAGAGCCTGACTCAGGGCTCAAACTCACCAGCCGTGAGATCATGACCTGAGCCGAAGTCAGATGCTTAACCGACTGAGCCACCCAGGCGCCCCCAGTGAAATATTATTTTTGCCGTCATGTTAGCAAAGATTCCTATTTTGCAAAAAAGGGTATAATTCTCAGTGTTGGTGAGGATGTGGTGACCTCTGCTTTCATGCATTACTGGTGGAAGGGTAGGAGTGTACGACCTTTTTGGAAGACGACATGATGATATTTATACAGAGACCAACTTTCTGTTAAGCACTGGGTTAGGAACTGGGTGGATAGTAGTGAGTGAAATTAAGTCCTTGCCTTCACAGAGCGTACCGTTTAGTGCAGGGAAAGTGAAAACTAATAAGTAAAAAATACAATTAAATACAGTAAGACCTTGGATTGCCAGTAACTTGTTCTGCGAGTGTTCTGTAAGGCAAGCAAAAATGTATAATAAATTTTAACTTGATAAAGGAGCGACGTGTGGCCCTACGAGTAGTACGTGGCACTGAATGTCACATGACCACCACTGAGCCAATGGTTCTTGAAATTTACTTTGATGTACAAGTGCTTTGGACGACAAGCGTGTTTCCAGAATGAACTATGCTCGCAAACCAAAGCTTTACTGCATTTACACACGTGAAGGACCTTGAAGGAAATCAAAATGGAGCTGGAGACAAAGGAGGGGAGGTTAGTGAAGGCATTTCCAAGGAGGCAGAGCCGGGCTGAGTCACGGTTGGTAAGAAGACGTGAGCCATCAGAAGAGGGACTTCATGTGCAAAGGTCCTGTGGTGGGAGAGATCTTTGATGAACCGAGAAGAGACCAGACAGGACACAGTGGGAAGGGCAGCTGGAGAAGTAATACCCGCAAAACATGAGGGGAGTCCTGTTTTCAGGGGAGGTGATACCACCTGCCATTACTGTTTCACGAAGAGGTTCTGGCCGCCATGACAATGGTTTGGGTTGAGTAAAAGGAAGCAGGAAGGACACTTAGGAGCTTCTGGAAGCAGTGTGGGTGGTAGGTCGTGGTGCTATTCCGAGCGCCTTGGCAGGGGGGTGGGTATCAGACCTCACAAAGTTTAAACGCTGTGGACCAGCAGTGCCCCATGGGAATTCATCCCAAGGAAATAATCAGATGCGCACAGAGATTTACATACAAATAAGTTCATTATGATTTTAGTTTCAAAGACAAAACACTGGAAACAGCATAAATGCCCCCCACGAGAGGTTAAGTGGTGGTACATCCACACAAGGGCAGCCACGCAGCTATGAAAATCACTGTTTGAGAAGAATATTTAATGTGCAAAAAAAAAAAAAATTAGGATACAAAACAATGTATGTTAAGGTGCCGGTTTTTAAACAAACTGGCATTTATCTTTCTTTCCATCTAAAATAAGCGTCCAACCTCTACAGACGACTCTCTGGGTGACCTATGAGTGAGTTTAATTTTTTTCTACCTTTCAGTGTAATGTCTTATAATAAGCATATACTTGTACAGTTTAAAACGCACAAACAATATTTGGAAATGAAAAGGTAAGTCTTTCAAAGAGGCGCAGGCAAGTGTGCGAATGTGAAAGGGAGGGGTGTGGGTTGGGGCAGAGCTAAGCGGCGCCTTCAGCGAAGGGTGAGTGCAAATCCAAGTGACCTGTGCGGCATTCAACCACTGCCCCCTCGTCACCTGGGCCCCCCGCCCCGTCCCTGAAGGTGCCCTCCTAAAGCCTGCTCAACTCTTCCGTCATCCACCTCCTTGCGGATTTCCTGAAGGTCTCACTCGTCCGGCCATAATGCACAGCCTTCCCGGGGTCAGGTCCTCTGGGGGCTGAAGCTGCGTCCCATCCTGAGATGCTCCCTTCTCCCCCACCCCCGGCTCCCCTCCCGTCCCCCTCCCCTCTACCCCAGTCTTCTCTGCCTCCCTAACCCGCTCCACCTTCCTCAACAGAGGCTGTGAGCCTGTCTTCCAGGAGTGTGGACTCCGGGTTGGAATCTTGGCTCTAGCTCTTTTCTGTGCCCTCAGCTGTAAATGGGGATTATCCCAGGACCTACTTGACAGAGCTGAGGAGACTGAGTGACTGAAAATATGTCTAACCTTGAGAACGGTGCCTGTCACACAGTCGGCACTATATAACTACCATCTTTCCAGTTAATCAGGCCCCAAACTTAAGAATCATTCGGGATTCCTCCTTCCCCTCATTCTAGCATTTTGAACCACCGGCAAATGCAGAGTCGGTCTGTTTCCCAACCCCCGCACCGCTGCCCCAGCCCAGGTATATGCCCCGCTAGGACGGCTGCAGTAGCCTCGCTGTGGTCTCCCTCCCTCCGTTCTTGTCCACCTCCAGCCCAGCATCCTCACACCAGCAAGCCAAACTTCTTGAAATGAAAATCGGATGATAAGACTCCTCTGTTGGGGTTTAGGATAAAACCCGAACTCCTTACTGTGGACTACGAGGCCCTACAGAATCTTCCACTAGAAAAGACATGGAAGTGTAAACAATAAAATTGTTTTGGCCATTGGATTAGAAAAGATTTTAAAAATAAGAATAACACCCAACGTGTGTGTGTGTGTGTGTGTGTGTGTGTGTGTGTGAGGGTGGAGTGAAACTTTGCTCTTAGCCTTGGAACCTCCTGTTGGTCCAGCATTTTGAGGGAAGAGAATGTTTCAAGAAGGAGGGTGGCCTTTGGGTCAAAGGCTACTGAAAGATCAAGTAAAGTGAGGACAGAGAGCTGACCGTAGCTTTGGTCAGAATGGTTCCAGGGGAGTGATGAGTAGGGCAGCCATATTGCCAAAGAAGGCAGAGAGTGAACCTGGTGAGTGGCAATAGCAGAGAGAGAGGGTGGTGGAGAGAGAGAGAGAGAGAGAGAGAGAGAGAGAGATGGACAGTGAGGAGACACGAGCCTAAGGAAAACTCTGGAAGAAGCAGAGAGCTCTCTGGGGTGGGAGGGGCGCTGGCTGACGGGGGGGGTCCTGAAAGCCCAGCTGAGGAGCCAGTAGGCAGCAGGAAGTGGGAGAGAAGGAACTTCAGGAAGCCTGATATTTGCTAAATGTCCCAAGGGGATGGGGCTCAGCTTAAAATTCATTAGAAAAAAAACACAGCAAAGCGCCTGAGTCTGAGGAGTTTGGTGCTCTGTGGCAATTCCTGCTGGAGCCTTCTTAATTTCCTTGGTAAGTCAGATTGCTTTGATGACTGCCTTAGAGGAAGCGCCATTCTGATAAGGGATGTCTGGTTGTGTATCTGTGTGGGGATTTTCCACAGGAAAACGAGCTGGTGATGCCAGGGCCCACAAAGGAGAAGACGAACACCTGTGTGTGTGTGTGTGTGTGTGTGTGTGTGTGTGCGCGTGTGCGCGTGGGTGCGTGAACGTGTGTGTCCTTTTCCAATCCCAGTTGGGAAGGTAGGAAGGGAGCCTAGGCACTTGCTTTTGAGCCTCTTGGATAGGAGAGCTGGGTAGGATCGGGTTGGGACTATTGTTTGGGGCTCAAAGAAAGCACAGATACTTTGAGTGTTGCTGTTTCAAAGCGTGGGCATGTGGGGAGCCATATATGAGAAAACCTCTCTTTCTGCCGATCTGTGTTCCACTATTCCACTATTCCCCCACCAGCGGGAGTTCTTCCTAGTGGGACCTGGGGAAGGTAAAGTTTTTGTTTGTTTCCTTCGTGAACTTCTTCATTCATTCATTTTTTAAAAATTGATTTATTCATTAATTCAACCCTGACTTATTGACTACTCAGCCTGAGTCACTATAATTGGCATTTGGTCAGAAAATGGGAAAGTCTTAGCTCTAAGAGTGATGTTCGACCTGTTGGGATGAGCACTGGGTGTTCCACTATTCCACTATCCCACCGATACTGTGTTCCACATCCTGCTTAGAGCCCGCTGCACTTGGAAAGCCTTCTCTCTCACCCTTACTCCTGGTACGACCAGTCCCTGCTTTCAGCCAGATTTGTGTCACTGGACCGAGGATAGATGCTCACACTCCAGCATCTAGAGCAACCTCGCTTCTCTGGGCCTCGGTTCCATCATCCCTACATCAGAGAGCATGAGGGCAAGCCTGACTCTTGGGGTGTCCTGGTCCTAAGTGTCCACAGGGAGCATAAGGGTGGGCGGGGCAGACAGGGTAAGCAGACAGCCCTGATATCTGCAAACATTTGTTATCCACAAGATGTTATGATCTGCCCTTTTCATGCATGGCCTCCTTCAATTTCACAATCCTATCAAGTCAGGAGCTACTCATATCCCTATTTTGGCAGAGGAGGAATTGGAGGCTTCCAAGGTGTCAAATGAGTTGCCCAAGGTTGGTGTGGCAGGCAGTGGCAGAGCTGAGTGGGAGATCGCCACCTGGCCTGGGCAGGGGGCCTGGCCGGAATCGGGGCAGGGGGCCAGGCAGAGCTGTGGCCATTCTCCAGGCGTTAGCAGGGACTCTAGAGGTCACCTTGCCTCACAGATCTCTCGCTCTGCTGCCCCTGTGTTCTCTAGTTCTCCTAGCCTTGGAAACTCCAGGGATCAGAATTGCACACCACCTTTTCTCTAGGTCAAGGACTGAAAAATTAAATTCCTAAGGGCCAGGCGGTGATCACGCGAAGTGGCACATGGCTGGAGTAAGTGCAAATGTCAACTGTAGCCCCTAAGGGGAAGATCTTGCTTTTCGGGAGCTCCTCAGTCCCAGCTGGCTCTTACCTCCTGGCATCAGGGCTCAGTGTCGTCAGAACCTCCGATCCTTCAAGAGGAGCTAAAACCTCTCGACTCTTAAAAGTTGGTTCAAACCTGTTCTGAGCAGTATCTTAAAATAAGTGAATAAACAGACAACACGCATTTAAAGATAGAATGGAGCTCTGTCAGGTGGCGGAAGTCTGATTGCACCCCTGCCTTGCTCCGGGCAGGCTTGTGGTTGGTGAGTTTTCCATGTGGTGGGATAGAAGTCTCTCCGAGGAGTCTTCTTCCTTACACCTTCTCCCTTCCCCCTCACCCCAGCACACGTCAGCACATTCCAGGAGTGGAGCAGACGTTGACAGGAATGAGTCCCAATTTCCGCTCTGTTGGAGGAGTTTTCTCCCTGGACTTTGGATAATAATGTGAGCTGACACTGTGCTGGCAACAGCAATCCCTTGAATTCTCATCCTTCACTCTCAAGTTTCTGTGAGAAGTTTGGAGACATGGTAGCTGGGGCAAAATGAATGTCCAACAGACATTCAAAGATGACCAACACACGGGGGAATAAGACACCATGAGCAAGAACCAGGAGAAACAGAGGCAACACAGGGTCACACGGACTCCAGATGTTGGAAGTATTGTCACAGACTATAAAACAGTTGTACTTACAGGGTTCAAAGAAATAAAAATCCAGCTCGAACACTTCAGCAGAGAATTGGAAACCATAAAGCATACAACATTTTTGAAAAAGGAATTCTAGAATGACAAATTCAACATCTGAAATTAAGAACCTGATGGATGGGTTTAATGACAGATTAGATATAGCTAAGAAGAGAATGAATCAATTGGAATTTAAGTCAGAGGAAATGGTTTAGAATATAGCACGGAGGGGCGGAAAGATAGAGGTACAGAAAGGACAACCAAAGAACAGGGGCACAAAGTGACAAGCTCTAATATATGTCTCCCTGGTGTCTCAGAAGGACATGGGGAAGAGGAGAGAGGGAACACAGAAGAAATGTTTGGATTATCCATCACTGAGGAGAGACATGAGTGTGTAGATTCAAAAAGCCTACAGAGACAGCTGGTTTGTACCAGACACAGGAGGACTCAGTCACTCACTCGCTCAGAGGGGTCGGGAACCAATACATGGCAAATCCCTGAGCCTAGATGGGAATGGGGTCCGAGGACCGCCCCCACCCCCCACCCGTGGGAGTTCTTCCTAGTGGGACTTGGGGAAAGTAAAATTTTCGTTTGTTTCCTTCATGAACTTCTTCATTCATCCATTTTTTAAAAATTGACTTATTCATTAATTCAATCCTGATTTATTGACTACTCAGCTTGAGTCACTATAATTTGGCATTTGGTCAGAAAATGGGAAAGTCTTAGCTTTAAGAGTGATGTTCGACCTGTTGGGGTGAGCACTGGGTGTTGTATGGAGACCAATTTGACAATAAATTTCATATTAAAAAAAAAAGAGTGATGTTCGTGCTTGGATGAAGCAAGATGTTTAAGGCAATTAGCGTCTGGGTGCTGGAAGAAAGATGGCTCCTGGAGGTCTATGATGATGGGGATCAGAGGCTGGTTTTGGGAAGAGAGGCAGTGCTATGGGAAATAATCCAAACTAGTGCCTAGGAAGTTTTTGGACCATCTGTGAAGACAGGAGTTATTTCAGGAAGAGATAATTTGGGCCCCAAATAAATTCTTTTGATACTGTGAATGAAATTTGTAGGGTTTTTGAGAACCCGACCAACTTAATGTTATTTGCAGTGTATTTATTCTCCTTTGTCGGTAAAATTTGTTGTAATCTAAAGAGCCTGTGTAAACTCTACTAAAAGGAAGAAATGGGTTTGCGTGCTGGTGTGACCCATGGAGGAAGGAGGCCCTGGATCCACCCCTCAGAGGTACTGGTGGCAGTGAGCACGAGCGGGGGCAAGCCACGGTAACCCTTTCGGGGGGCAAGGCAGGACTATTTGGACAGCTCTCCCACCTGGAGGTTTGGGAAGGCTGAGAGCACTTAAGCCACATGCAGACTTGAACATTGGCTCCCTCTATGGCTCTCAACTCTTTTGGGGTCACAGGCCACTTTGCGAACATGACAAAGCCCAGTCCCAGAAAAGTGCACACACAGGAAACATTCCCTGTGCAACTTCAGGGGATTCGTGGATTCAAGTCTGAAATCCTTTGGTCTATCCACTCCTTCATCGTAATTTGGGGAAACTGGGGTCTACCTTGGGGAAGGGATTTGTCCAAGTTCACACAGAGAGTGGCAGAGCGGGGACTCTATCCCAAGCGTCTGGACCTTGGTCTGGTGCTGGTCCTGACTCACCCCCCAGCAACCTCCAGGCTGTGCAGGGTGGCACTGTACGTGTATGGGGGGCAGCTCTCTCTCTCTCTCTCTCTCTCTCTCTCTCTCTCTCTCTTGGGATTGTGGGGGGGGGGGGGGAGCTTGTCTGATTGCTTGGGGTGGAATCAGGGTCATGGGAGGGGTCTTGGAGGTCAGTACTAGCTGCTTCTTTTTTTTTTTAATTTTTAAAAATGTTTATTTATTTAAGAGAGAGACAGACAGAGTGTGAGTAAGGAAGGGGCAGAGAGAGAGAGAGGGAGACACAGAATCCAAAGCAGGCTCCTGGCTCTAAGATGTCAGCACAGACCCCGATGGGAGGGCTCAAACCCACGGACCACGAGATCATGACCTGAGCCGAAGTCAGACACTTAACCGACCGAGCCACCCAGGCGCCCCAGTACAAGCCGCTTCTTAACCCAGAAGGCACTGGGCAGGAGCAAAGGCTCATGGATAGAATGACATGGTGATTTAAGTGTTACCGGAGGAAGGGATTCCTACAGTCTGTTCTCTCCTCTCTCATATCAGTCTCTGGAGCGACCCAGTGCTCTGGAAACAGCTCGAAATTCCCAGGGTGACCTCTGCCTGGGCTCCCCCTTCCTCGAATCCACCAGAGCACCGCTTGGAGCCTGACTCCAGCCTCATGGGGCTAATTCCCGTCTGTTTTTCTCTCCTCTCTCTGCTGTATTTCCCTCCCTCTCACCTTCTTCCCCCTCCGCTGCAGGGACAGAGGAGGGAGGGCACAAGCACCACGCACTAAATTCTCATTTTCTTTCAAGAAAAAATTATGATTATTGAAGATTTAATCTTTGAGTCTAAAAATACCTCCATGCAAATGCCTCTGTTCCCCCAATCCTCTTTCCTCCCCTCCCGTTATAGTTCCCTTTGTTAATCGGGCCCAGTGAGAGTTGCACCGGGGGCAGGTGTGGACGCCCCTGGTATCTCCACGGCACAGCCGAGAAGTGGGGGGCCTGGAGGGTTGTGGGGAGGTGCGGTCAGCGCTAGTGAGGCTGCAGGAGAGGGGTGCTGGGGTCTGTGATGTGTGCTGCTTGCTCTAGTCCTTGTGTGCTGTGGGTGGGGCAGTGAGCCAGCCTCAGCCTCTCCCTCCTGAATCGGTGAGCAGTTTCCAAAAACACCGAAGCTCTGAGGCAGACTTCTCCCTCTTCCCGGTGA